GGTGGCACTTAGTGCTCTGGTCTAGCTGACAAAGTGTTGATGGGTCACAGGTTGGACTCGATCTTGGATGTCTTCGAACTTCAGTGACTCTGGGATTCAGAGACTGAATAGATACACAGCTCTGAGCTAGTGCAGTGCAGTGAGGAATTCAGCTGTGTCTCACTTTATTGCCTGCTCTTCAGAGCAGACATGAGAGTTGCCTGAGAGGAACTCACCTCAGCCTCAGTGAAGTGAAGTGATCCAGTGGGTTTGCTCCAGTTTGTTGGCGTGGCTGGTAGTGAATCCCCTTTGGGATGTGTGTTCCCACTGGGAAGGCAGGAAATGATTTCTGAGTCAGTGAAGTGGCTGGAGCTACACTGTGTTATAGTGACACACATTCATAGATTAGCCTGTGTGGAAATTACTCCTCTTGAATGAGATTTACATAATTCCTGAGTGCATACACAGCATTTAATGGGAAGGGGAGGAATGTTCTTGTGCAATGAAATTGCTCTGGGACTTGCTCAGCAGCACGAGGCTGATGTACAGAGCCTTCAGTTGGTGAAGTGGGATGCCAAAGAGCTCTGAAGCTTGAGCTCTGTCAGCCTTGGGGCTGTGCCCACTGCCCTGGGGAGCTGTTCAGTGCCCAAAAACCTCTGAGGGAAGAACCTTTGCTTCATCTCCAGCCTAACCCTCCCCTGACACAGCTCCAGCCATTCCCTGGGGCCTGTCCCTGGTCCCAGAGAGCAGAGATGGAGCTGCCCCTGCACTGCCCCTCTGGAGGAAGTTGTATACAGTCATGAGCTCTCCCCTCAGTCTCCTCCATACAACTTTGCAAAAGATGAGTAATATATTTCTATTACGTCTAATAAATACTAGAAATAGAATCCACGACTTCCAAAGCAGGGAAGGCTGCTCATGGGGGCTGTGAGGATGTGCACTGTTGTGCTCTCCAGAGGCACAGCCTACCTGGGAAAGGCTGAAACAGGGGTACAACCTTGGGGTGCTGCTGGCTGAGAGCAGGAGTCAGGTTCTGTTGGATCACTTTTGAACCATTCAGGACTACATCTGACCTCTCTTTGTGTGATTCCTGAAGTTTCTCGAGATCACCTCTCCCTCCAAGGAACCAGGTTGTCATGTCGTATCCAGATGTCAGAACATCTCTTCCCTGTGCAGCCAATCGATCCTGGCGTTGTCTTCTGGATTTCTTTCAACTCTCTGGTTCAGCACTGAACCAGATTTTATGGTAATCAAATCTCATTGACGTCAGTGCTCATCTAGCAAGAAGTTCTCTCTCTGTGAACCTCCTTGTTTCTAGTGTTTACACTGCTGTGGCTCTGCTCTCCCTGTCTGAGCTCGTTAGAGGTCAGGGATGGTTAACAGGAGCAGATCCTGAGGGAGTGGAAGCCCAACTGTATCCTTTAATTGCCAATTCAGAGTGTTGCCTGACTTCAGGAATACTGAGGTGTGGGAAGTCATGGCTTGGGCTTTGCCTTCTGCTGTTTCAGAAGGTGTTTGTTTTCTTTTAAAGGGAAAGGAGGGATATTTGTGTGTGCTGTGTGAGAAAACAAGGTGAGGAGATGTTGGTATTGAATGTTACAGAAGAGGGGAAATGAGCAAAGGATCTTTTGGGTACGGTCTTTGAAAATCAAGTAACAAACTAGCCTGTGTTACAAACAAATAGATACAATGATCGATGGAGATAAAAGAGCTATGTGTCTGAGAGAAAGGGCCTCAAATTGGTGATTATAGACAGTTTGTGCCTGAAAATCAGGCACAAATACCTGATATTGGCAATGTTTTTGTCCATATTGGTTAAGCTTGTTGAAAGAGAGATGATTAGAGATGTGATTAAAGTATCTGTAATGAGGAATTGCCAATGTATTGTTTTTTTGCTGTTCACAGTGACTGGAGTGAAGTGTGTTTGGGAAGGAGATGGAGGCAACCTGTTTATACTGTGTGACATGGAGCTGTTGGAGTGAGTCCAGAGGAGGCACCAAGCTGATTGGAGAGCTGGAGCAGCTCTGCTGTGAGGAAAGGCTGAGAGTTGGGATTGTTCAGCCTGAAGAAGAGGAGGCTTCAGGGTGACCTAATTTTGGCCTTCCAGTACTTGGAGGGACCTCATAAGAAAGATGGAAAGAGACTATTTCCAAGGGGCTGAAGGGACAGGACACGGAGAATGGCTTCACGCTGCCAGAGGGCAGAATCCAATGGGATATTGGGAAGGAATTCTTCCCTGTGAGGCTGATGAGACACTGGCACAGGTTGCCCAGAGAAGCTGTGACTGCTCCATCCCTGGGAGTGTTCCAGGCCAGGTTGGATGGGGCTTGGAGCAACCTGGGCTAGAGGAAGGTGTCCCTGCCCATGGCAGGGGGTGGGGAACAGGTTGATCTTTGAGGTCCTTCCAACCCAAACCATTCTGTGATTCTGTCAATACTAATGTCACTTAATACCCTTTTGCTTCATGCTAGGAGTGTAATGATTCTGTCTTTCTAGCAGCTTTGTTTTGAGCTTCCCATCCACCTCTGAGCTTAGCATCCACCTTCGGGAGGTTATTTTAGGGGGGACATGCTCCAAGCAGCCTCTGTTTCTCCACTAGCATTGGCTGCAGCACTGTGAGTCTTGGGCTGGTGCCATTGTGGCTGCAGCTGTGGTTTGCTGGGACATCACTTTAGCAGGGAGAGCAGCAGACATCATCTGCTGAATCCCTGTATGCAGCTTCTCCAGTCCTCAGATGGATCACTGATAGAATAGTTTGCTCCTTGACAGCTTCTGTGGCTTAGCATGTCTGGGGGTTGCAGCTTGAAGTGCTTCATGGCAGAATTTGGTCTCTCTGACTTATGTGTGGCATCAGGCAGCTGTGCTGCCTTACCTGGCAGAGCAGTGGTGATGCTGACAGGGGAGGAAAGTCCTTGGTGTTGCCCTGTGCTGTAGTTTTGGGGAGGTGCCATCCTATTCTCACTGTGTTTTTGGTGCATGTGCTCAGTGTCACTGCAGAAGGTGGCAAGGCTGAGGCATAACTGAAAATAACTGAACTGAGATACAGTAATAAGAGAATCCTTTATTTTTAACTGGGATTCTGAGTGCCTGGTCAGTGGGGATTGGCAACTTATGTAAATATAGAGCAGATAATTTAATAATAGATTGCTAATCTTTTGCAGCAAAAGTAGAATTGAGGAGCCTGAGGCAAGATCTCACTGCTGTATACAGCTTCCTCCCAAGGGGCAGTGCAGGGGCAGCTCTATCTCTGCTCTCTGGGACTAGTGACAGGACCCAGGGAATGGTTGGAGTTGTGTCAGGGGAGGGTTAGGCTGAATATCAGGATGAGGTTCTTCTCCCAGAGGTGTTTGGGCACTGAACAGCTCCCCAGGGCAGTGGGCACAGCCCCAAGGCTGACAGAGCTCCAGGAGTGTTTGGCCAATGCTCTCAGGCCCAGGGTGGATTGTTGGGGTGTCCTGGGCAGGGCAGGGGTTGGACTGGTGATCCTTGGGGGTCCCTCCCAGCTCTGAATGTTCTGTAATTTAGACTGGAGGGGATTTCTGGAGGCTTTCTGTGGTGCTTTCCTTACATCTGATATTCTTGGATGACATCTAGAGAATCTTGTCTTAAAATAGAAATACAGTGTAGTCATCCCAAGGTCTTGAGTTGATTTTGCTGGAAATGGTGCTGAGAGTCAGGGCTAAGGTCAGTGATCACAGTGCAGGTCACTCACTGGTGATGCATGAGCATCTAAACCAGTTTTGGCTTGTTTTTTTTTGTCCTATAAATCACCCACCAGGTGTTAGTGACCTCCTGCCCTTGGCCTAGAGGAGACTTGTCCACATCACCTTCTCTGTCTCCACTGGAGACATGACTAAACCCTGTGTGTTAGCCCTCAGCACCCTGCAAGGAGCCTGTGAACAGTGTGGGCATTACTCACAGCTGAGTGTTGTATAAACTTACCCTGCTCCATGGGGAGGTGCAGCAGACCTGTTGGGTTGCAGGGATTGTGTAAACAGAGAGTAGGAGGTGTGTATGCCTTGGTGTTTGTGGCTGCTGTGACACAGGAGTGTTATCTGGGGGGGGCAGTAACCTTCTCACAGTCTCAGCACGTGAGTCAACCTCTGTGCTTTGTCCTCAGGTCCATAGTTGGGTTTCTTTTATTTGCTTCTGGACATGTGCTCAACAACTGAATCTGAAATGAAAATCAGAAGTGTTTTCTTGCATTTTCAAGATATCCAGTCCATCAGGCACTGATCTCTGCTCTCTGGGACCAGGGACAGGAGCCAGGGAATGGCTGGAGCTGTGTCAGGGGAGGGTTAGGCTGGAGATTAGGCAAAGGTTCTTCCCCCAGAGGTGTTTGGGCCCTGAACAGCTCCCCAGGGCAGTGGTCACAGCCCCAAGGCTGACAGAGCTCCAGGAGTGTTTGGCCAATGCTCTCAGGCCCAGGTTGGATTGTTGGGGTGTCCTGGGCAGGAGTTGGACTGGTGATCCTTGGGGGTCCCTTTGCACTTAGCATGTTCTACGATTCTATGAACTTATTTAGCCAACAGCTTTAAGTTGCTTCTTTTCTGGTTTAAATGACTCAACTTTCACCAAATCACGTGTTTTTCTCTTTCAATGACCTTGAATGCAAATCTGCCTGGTCTGTCCAGGAGCCTTTACTTGATTCCCATCTGACCTGATGCTGACTTAGACACCTTAAACCATGCAACTTTCTGTAAAATACCAGCAAAAGCTCTTGTGTTAAGACTCTGTGCCTCAGAAGTAATTGCTAGCTGTTCCTTTCTTGTGCATATGTACATCTAACATGTTTAAAATCAATCTGTGTATGATAATTCTTATCTGTTTAATGACAAAAGTCTATGAATCTTGTAGGTTCTTGGAGTCTTAAAGGTAAGTTATGCTGTGCAGCTCAATAACCTTGTTACATGCTGTAATATGGATGTAGTTCAGTCTGTATCAGAAAAAGTGCTGTAAACTCTGATTATCATCAAATAAAAGCATTTCCTCATGTGTTTTTCTTCCCCATCTATAACTAGGTGCGCTCCATGGATGAACTGAATCATGATTTTCAAGCACTTGCTCTGGAGGGAAGAGCTATGGGAGAGGTAAGTGAAAGGCCTGGAGGGAAAACATTCAGTCTGTGTGTTTTGGGGGGAATTAAAGACCAATTTTTTGAGGCTGCTGGAATGATTCTGAGCTTGAGAGTTCTCCATTATGTCTGTGAAGTGTGTGTGTGTGAGTGGTTTAACCAAATCAAAACCTGTCAGGCTGGAATACATCTTAGTAGGAGGAACAGCTAAGCCTTCCACCTGTTGTATCATCAAACAGTAGAGCGGTGATTGTAAAAGAACAGTTAAAATATGTCTTGTGACAAGTGTTACAATACTTGTAGCAGGTTTATTTTGGGAGCCAGTGATCTCAGACCCTGTCATATTGTGGGGTTAGTTGTCTGGCATTGTCTGCTGCCCTGTTTCCACTCCTGGCCACCTCTTTTTTGGCTCTTGTCAGGAGGCCCAGGATGTGTTTAACGCTTGAAGTCGCTGAGCAACCTAATCCAGGGCTGCAGGAGGGATAAGGGCTTCGGCCAGGGCAGAGGCCTCAGCAGGAGTTGGCAGATAAAGGCTTCAGAGAAACACAGTGAGACTTATTTTAGTCTCTCAGCACGGTGAGGAGGAGGCAGATTTGGGGAGATGACCATTGGATTTCTTTAAAGAAAGAGAATTTACCTATTTTTAGGGTGACTTGCAAGAATAGCTGTGTTAGGTTCTTGAAAGGTGGTGTCAACACTTGTTTTCCTTGCCTGGTTCCTTTTGACTTTGTAGGCAGTTCCACTGGAACTTTGGAAGAACAGAGAGGAGAAAATCATGTCTTGTGGAAGGACATTAATGTGTGGCAGCTTAGCTTGATGTAGGTGTGGTACTTTGGAGAGCCTTTCTTGCTGTGTTCCTGTCCAGTTCCACCTTGTTTAGACCATCCTTTGTTACCCAGTTCCTGGGCCAGGTTTAAAAAAGGAATAAAATTCCTCTAGAACCCTAAAGTTACTGGTTTGGAGAAAATAGCACATTAGAAATTTTGTGGTGGGTTTCATCAAAAAGTGTCTTCTCTTGGGTGAAAAAACCTCAGGGAGCTCAGGGTGTTGCAGATTAGCTCCCCCCTTTCCCTGCCTCCCCCCCTGAGTTGGATTTTATTTATCAGCATTTGATAGGCAAATCTCTGTCTCTCCAGGTTGGTTTAACCCACACTGGGACTACTGACTAAGTGTAGATGAACATGATTTACAGAGGAGAAAACATGACATTAACAATGTGTCTAAAGCTGCAAAGCAGCTGCTGTGACTCCATGTGCCAGTGGAATGATGGGGGTGGGAATGTTCTGGGAATATTTTTTGACACCTCATTTGGGAAGAGGTTAATTTTCAGCTGTAGATTGTACAGGTTGGCTGAGAGCAGGTTCAGGCTAAGCACAGCAATTGTTTTGTGCTTGGTGTGAAGGGAGGGAATTCCATCAGGGAGCTTAAATGCCTGAAGGAATTCCTAAAAGTGCTGAGTTTTCCCAGTGCTTAGTGTATTTAGCTATTTCTGGGAGAAGCAAGTTTGGGTTTGTTTTTGCAGGATATGAGCTTTGCCTTCCAGTGATGAATCACCTCTTTTTTCCCCTCCTTCTTGTAACTGTGATGCAGAAAGCTTTGGCATTGGCATCCCTTTGTCACTGGGGCTTTTCCACACACAGGAATGAGCAGGATTTTCCAGGAAAGGTGACATTTCACCTTTCTCTTTCAGCTAAACCACTATTACTTCTTTCTCTTGGGGTGTTTCTCCCTCAGTCTCACAGTTTCCAGGCTTTATCCATTGAATTTTCTCTCTGTTCCCAAGGTATTGCAGCACAGACCCAGCTGGACCATTTCAAGAGTTCTGTAAGCCAAAATCCCACAGGATATCAGGTCTCAAAACTGTTCTTCAGCTCCAGACTTGGATTTTGTGCAGTTTAGGTGCCTTAGCTAAGCACTGATGGTTCCCTCCCTTCCTCCTGCTCCTGGAATGAGAGGGAAACTCCTAGAGAAAGTCGGAAAGTCTAAACTAAATGAGGAAAACAGCAAATTTGATTTGTATTTCCTTATCTTGTATCTCCTGAGCCTTAGCTGCAGGAAGTGTCAATAATCCTGTACTGAGAGTTGACAGTGACACAAACCTGGAGAAGGATGAGGCAAAGAGTGTTTGTGCATTTAGTGTAGCTTTTTATCATCTTGTTTTCTTCCTTCTTAATAAGCAACTCTTCATTTCCTTGATTTAAAGAGTTTGTGCCTCTGAAGACATCAGAGCGTTTTTTTCAAGGGTGATGTAAGGCAGCTCAGTCTCTTATCTACATTTTGACAGCAGGATAGATATTATTTGGTGATGAACAGATATCCTTTTCTGGGAAAACTAAGAGCAATTCAAAAAGCCAACACTGATTTTCATCTGTCTTGTGGCTGTTTCCATCTCCAGACTCCCACCCTCCCCTACTGCTTGTACCCTCTAGATTTCCATGGGAGTGGAAGTGCAATACTTTCTTGTATGAGATTGAAAAGAGCCACGAAAACCCTTTTGCTCCACTCTAAAATGGCAAAGCTTTGGACTGTTGGCAGTGCCCATGGTCAGGAATGCTGAAATCAGCCCTTTCAAGGAGGTATGTGGGTTCTCCCCCTTTTTAGCATCTGGTCTGGGTTAGATGAGGTGAAGAAACTCATCTTGGAGCCTTGCCATGATGAAATCTTCACTGCTTTGGTATCAAACTCCTCTTCCCAGCAGATTTTGGACTGGGAAGTGCCAAAAAACAGTGGTGCAGGAACTGGGGAAGAAGGGCAGTGGCCTGTGAGGGCTGTGGGTTTGCTGCTATATCACACAGCCCTTGTGGCCACACACATGTGGCTTGTGCCTCTCTGAGGCCTCTGATCCACAGCTGGGATGCTTATCTGAGGCTTAACAAGAGCTGTGCAAGTTCTCTTTCTCTCCCAGCCTTCAGGATGGGCAGCTGGCTATCTGTTTTATTGGCTAAATCCCTTTTATCTGTAGCTTTGCACCAGTGACTACTGGTGCAGTGTGTTTGGGGGATAGTGGACAGCACAGAGAGGCTCTGAGGTGGAGTTAGTCTTTGTCCTCAGCACATTAGAGGCATTTTGGACTGCAGCAATGTTCTAGATTTGGTGTAGGTTATGCTGAGCTAAGTCTGTGTCTGGAGTCAAAGAGCAGCTGGGGGAGTTGTTAGCTGTAACCTAATCCCGAGGGTGGGAGGAGGATGGGAACAGAGAGGTATGAGGCAACTGGTAGGGAAATGTCAGAAATGGAAGGAAGTGGACCAAAAATGTTGAAGTATGAATATTGGGATACAGTGAATCTCACCTGCACTTTGAAAAAAAAAATGCTGGTAAGAAATATTACCTGACAAGCATTTAATTCTTGCTATGCTGCTGTCCCTGAGTGCTGCAGTGTGGTGTGGGTCAGACAGGCCAGTGGCATCACTGTAGCACAGCTCTGCAGCATCACAGGCAGAAGGGCTGATCTATCTCTGACCAGGGACAGGCCCCAGGGAATGGCTGGAGCTGTGTCAGGGGAGGGTTAGGCTGGAGATGAGGCAAAGGTTCTTCCCCCAGAGGTGTTTGGGCACTGAACAGCTCCCCAGGGCAGTGGGCACAGCCCCAAGGCTGACAGAGCTCCAGGAGTGTTTGGCCAATGCTCTCAGGCCCAGGGTGGATTGTTGGGGTGTCCTGGGCAGGGCACGGGTTGGACTGGTGATCGTTGTGGGTTCCTTCCAGCTCAGGATATTCTATGATGAACATGTCCATACTTATGTCCTCTTGGTGCCTGGGTAGGTCCTGGATAAGCTCCTGCCTGGGCAGGGAGTGGTGCCTTTATTTTTAAGCAGAGTGGGTGTGACACTGGGCCTGGACATTCTCATACCTGATTTAGAAAGACCCAAGCCCAAACTTAACAAAATCAGAGAAAACTAAAACCAAACTCCCCTCATGCCTCTACTTTCCCTGCTAGTGATGCTTTCCTGTGCTCTCCTGAATTTTGGGTTCATTGGCAGTTTGGAATGAGGTTTCTGTTCAGGTTTCAGTTTCCCCAGCCTGGCAGCAATTGGAGCGAGGAGAGTTGAAGCAGGGTTTGGGATGGTGCCACAGCAGCTACATTGGCACCTCAGGATGGCTCAGGGCAGAGCTGAGAGCAGAGCCAGGCAAGAGCTGAGCAAGAGCACACAGGGCTGGTCAGACATTCCCAATCATATGATCCTGCTTTTCTTTGTGCTCTATCCTTCCTGGGAGCCAGTCTGACTCCCTGAGCTGGCAGAGAGCTGCCTGGAGAGCAGGAGCTGTCCTTGGGGCAGCTGGAGGGCTGGGATTGCCTCTTGTGTGCTCACCCTCCCTGTCCTGTTTGCTTTCTAGCTGGCAACGTTTTTTGAGGGCAGATAACATCTGAGTGTTTGTAAACCTGCAGTGCTGCCCCAATGGGACCTGTAAACACATGCCCTGCCTTCTCCTACCTGTTGCTGCAGATAGAATGAGTTCTCCAAGTGCACAGATGGCTTCTTTTATCTTCATGTTTCCTTATCTGAGGGGGATCAGTTCTCTTAAGTTGTCTAATTCATAATCCCACCTCAGTGGATCCATATACACTGCTTGGAGAATTGCTTTGGTTGATGTGTAAGTCATCCTTGTCCCTCCTCCCTGCTCTACGAAATTGAATATTGGCCTAACTCTAAGTCCTCTCTAAGAGGGCTTAGAAGGATTATTTTCATACTAGATAGGGTCAATTTTAATACAAAAAAAACCCCTAGGGAATGTATAAACTATTCTCATTCCACACCACTGCCTGTTCTTTTGAAATTCCCAACTTGAAGAACTGGATAATAGTTAGTTAAAATACTTTTTATTTTTTTCCACCATTGCAACTGACAAGTTTCCCTGAGGAAAAAATTCATCCCCTTGGCAGCCTGTTGCATAATTCAGTGCAGATGATTACTGCTTGCTAACCCTCTGGTGTTGGTCAGAGCAGCACTTTGACAGAACAAAGCCCCTTGCTGCCATCTGTTAATATTGGCTTTGGGGTTTCCCTGATACCTGTAAATACATCGAGAATCTGTATGTGAAATAAACAACTATATTCTCTTTGTTTCTGCTTATGGGGCAGAACTTCCAGTTGGAAACTTTGTGCTTCTGGCAGGGGAAAGATTAAACTGGAGGGGGCAGAGCTGTTAGGGCAGGAAAGGTATGTGTGCATGAGATAGTGAGAATTTGGATGTTTGCTGAGCATTGTCTGGGATTCACTGCAAAGCTGAGAAGGTCTTGGGGTGCAGATCTGCAGGATTGTGTTGGTAAGGGGATTGTTTTTACCCCTAAGAAGGGGCTAGGGGGAAGATGAAGCAGTAAAGGGGAACATTAGCTTTAAGTCACCCTCCAGCCAGGGGAAATGACCTGATTCTCCCTAATATCTAACCTAAACCAACCCTTGTTCAGCTTCAGGCCATTCCCCCTTGTCCTATCACTGCATGCCCTTAGGAGAAGTCCCTCTCCCTTATTCTTGAAGATAGTGGAAGGCTGGAAAATACTCTATCCTGCACATTCTTTCCTGTCTCCTCCCTACAAGCACATGTCCCCTCTCAACTTTTGTTTCTTCTTAGGGATAAATCCCTCCCTGTGAGGTGCTGAGACACTGGCACAGGTTGCCCAGAGAAGCTGTGGCTGCTCCATCCCTGGGAGTGTTCCAGGCCAGATTGGATGGGGCTTGGAGCAACCTGGGCTAGTGGAAGGTGTCCCTGCCCATGCCAAGGGGTGGGACTGAATTATCCTTAAGGTCCCTTCCAACTCAAACCTTTCTGTGGTTTTAAGAGATGTGGTATAGCATTGCCACATTTTTATTATTTTTTTTAATTTCAGTAAATGCATTTTATTATGTACATTTCGAATCCCTGAAATGGGAAATGAAGAGCCTTTTGGCATGGTAAGGGGTGTAAATTGAAAGGGGGAAATTGAGATGAGATCTGAGGCAGAGTTTTCCCTGTGAGGGTGGTGAGACACTGTCCCAGGTTGCCCAGGGAGGCTATGGCTGCCCCAAGCCTGGCAGTGTTCACAGCCAGGTTGGCTAAAGCCTTGAGCAACCTGCTCTGGTGGGAGGTGTCCCTGCCCAGGGCAGGGGTGGGACTAGAGGTCTCTAAGGTCCTTCCAACCCAAACCATTCCCTGAGTTATGATTTGAGGTGAGGTTTCACACCAGGCTGTGACCTGCACTGTGAGGTATTCTCAGAGGACACAAGCAACATTTAGCTGCAGCTCAAATTCAGTTTAATCAGTCCATATCACTTTCTGTTCAGAGCTCCTTGAAGCACAAAGAGAAGGCAAGTTATTATTTTTGCTCAGTGGCAGCAGCAGCAGCAAAAGCTGCATTTTAAGAAATATGGGAATGACAGAAGCTCCAAATGAATGCCAAGACACCTGATGTGTGTTTATGTTTATAAACACTAGAGAGCTCTGACTCGACTTTCACCTCCTTCCCTCACCCCACAGTGCAGATGGAGGAACAGGTTAGTCTGTGTGTTTTGAAGAGAGTTTTGCTGATGGAAGTTGCTTGTCTTTATACTTGCAGTTATTTTGGGATTGCATACAGGGAGTGTGGTGCAAAATTCCCCTCCTTTATCCTTCAGCAGCCTACGCTGTGTTTTGGGTGCAGTGAGACATCCTGAAGTGACATTTCTATAAACTGATTGATTTTTGTAAACAAACACATCTTTGTTGAGTTAGGAAGTAAATGCTGAGCACAACTCTTCTGGTTGTCTGTCTTAAACCAGTGCACACTGCAATTGGGAGCTCTGGAACCAGTGATTCCTGCTTTGTCTGCATCCAGCAGCTGGTTTACTCTGGGAGTTTAGCCTTAAATTTGCTGATGGAGTAAGTTGATTGATATCAACAGTTGAATATCAATCACTGAGATTCAGATTAGATATTAGGAAAAAGTGTTTTCCCTGTCAGGGTGTTCAGGCACTGGAATGTTGCTCAGGGAGGTGGTGGAGTCACCAGCCCTGGAAGGGTTTAAGAGGTATCTGGACCTAGTGCTGGAGAATATGGTTTAGAGGTTACAGCAGTGACAGGTTAAGGGTTGGGCTTGATGATCCCAGGGGTCTCTTCCAAGCTTGATGGTTCTATGAATATATAAAACAGGATATTGAAGCTGATACCAGTCAAGAGTTACCACCACTCCTGATATATAGGAGAGATCCACTAATCTGATTCCTGTTCTGTGCTAATTTCAAACAGCTGCAAGTGCTTGTTCACCTTCCAGTTCCTTGAGTTTCATCCCAAATTCACCAGGCAAAGCTCATTGTTTGGGTTCATTTGCCATGAGTGTGTTGTTTTCTCTCTGAAGTGCACAGACCTCGTGTGGAAGGTTTAAATGGGAAGATTTCGTCCTTGTTTTCTCTCTGAAGTGCACAGACCTGGTGTGGAAGGTTTAAATGGGAAGATTTTGTCTACCTCAGGCACTTGAGCAGGACCTGGAATTCCCCTGGCCATGTGGCAGGTGTTCCCTGGGTGAAGCTGCTATTCCAAAATCCATCTGCTGAATAGGACACACTGTTCTCTCTGCCATCTCTGAGCTCCAAAGCAATTGTCCTTGGGTCCCCCCCAAGCCCAGGATGGCTCTGTCTGCTTCTCAGTGAGTCCATAGCCTGTTTTGCCTTCCCTCCAGTGCAAACACCACTGGTGGCAGGTGCACAGCCCAGAACTGTTCACTCCTATTAGTGTTTACAAACAACCTGAGAGTCCTCAGCAGTCATTGACTCAGTGAGAAGTGAGAGCTCTTGGCATCTCTTGAGCTTTTCTGTCCCTGCCAGGAGCAGCAGCAGCAGCAACTGAGATTTGAAGGAAGGAATCAGTGTGACAGCACTGGGTGCTCACAGAGTTCTCCTCAGCTCGGGTGAACTCCTGATA